AAGAGAAAAGACACAAACAAACAAAATCAGAAATGAAAGAGAGGAAGTTACCACGGTTGCCACAGAAATACAAAGGCTCATCAAAGAATACTATATGCCACCAAATTCTATAACATAGAAGAAATTGACAAGTTCTTAGAAACATATGGCCTTCCTAGGCTGAATCATGAAGAACTGGAAAATCTAAATAGGCTTATCAACACTAAGAAAATTGAATCAGCAATCTAAAACCTTCCCAAAAGCAAAAGTCCAGGAATAGATGACTTTACTACTGAATTCTACCAAACATTCAAAGAGGATCTAATACCGGTCCCACTCAAACTCTTCCAAAAAATTAAAGACACAATAATTCCCAACTCATTTTATGAGGCCGACATGACCCTGATACCAAAACTTGTTAAGAACAATAAAAAAAAGAAAATTACAGACCAATATCTCTGATGAGTACAGAAGCAAAAATTCAAAACAAAATTGTAGCCGTAGACTAAAGTGTTGAGAGAAAATAAACACCAACATGAAATCCTGTACCCTGTAAAATTATCCTTGAAAAGTGATGGAAAGATGACTTTCTAAAACAAGCAGAAACTGAGTAACTTTGTTGCCAGATCCGCCTTGCAAAAGAAGTTTAAAGTCCTTTATAGAAAAGGAAAATAATATAGCATAAATACTTACATCTTCATAAAGAAAGAGCACTGAAGAAGGAATAAGAGGTTAAATAAAAACTTTTACTTTTCTTAAAAAAAATTGTAGCAAGTTGAATACAACAATACATTAAAAGGTTTATATAGCACGACCAAGTGGGGTTCATCCCAGGGGCAAAAGGATGGTTCAACATATGCAGATCGATCAATGTGATACACCACATAAAAAAAATAAAGGACAAAAATTATATGATTATATTATTAGATGCAAAAAAAGCATTGGATAAGATAAAACATCCATTTAGGATTAAAACACTTAATAAAATGGGTATAGAAGGAAAATACCTTAATAGAATAAAGGCTATATATGACAAATCCTCAGCTAATATCATAAATAATGGTAAAAAACTGAAGCCCTTGCTCTACATTCAGGAACATGACAGGGCTGTCCCCTATCGCCTCTGCTTTTCAACGTAGTATTGGAAGTCCTAGCCAGAGCAATTAAGCAAGAGAAAAGAATAAAAGGCATCCAAATAGGGGAAGAAAAAGTTAAATTGTCACTTTTTGCAGAGGACATGCTGATATATGTAGAAAATCCTAAAGACTCCACCAAAAAGTTAATAGAAATAATAGGCGAATACAGTAAAGTTGCCTGCAACTCAATCAGCATACAAAAATCAGTTGCATTCCTATATACTAGCAATGAAATCACAGAAAAAAATAAAACACCAATTTTTTTGCAATTGCAATGAAAAGAATAAAATACCTAGAAAGAAACTTATCAAAAAATGTGAATGACTTATACACTGAAAAGTATAAGACATTATTATTATTTTTATTCAAAGTTTATTGGGGTGACAATGGTTAGTAAAGGTAGATAGGTTTCAAGTGTACAATTCTGTAATACATCTTCTATACATCACATTGTGTGTTCATCACCCAGAATCGATTATTTTTCCATCACCATATATTTGTTCCCACTTGCCCTCTTCTACTATCCCCTCTCCCCCCTTACCCACTGGTAACCACTAAACTATTGTCTATGTCTATTGCTTTTTTGTTTCTTTGTTTGTTTATCTTGCTGCTTGGTTGCTTTCACTTTTATATCCCACTTATCAGTGAAATCATATGGTTCTCGACATTTTCTGTTTGACTTATTTTGCTTCGCATAATAATCTCAAGATACTTAGCATTATAATCTCAAGATGCATCCATGTTGTTGCAAGTGGCACTATTTCATCTTTTCTTCTGGAAGAACAGTGTTCCATTGTGTGTATATACAGCAACTTCTTTACCCAATTATCTATCGAAAGACACTTTGGTTATTTCCATGTCTTGGCCACTATAAATAAAGCTGCAATGAACATCAGAGTACACATATCTTTACAGATAAATGTTTTCAGATTTTGGATAGATACCGAAGAGAGGGATTGCTGGTTCTTATGGTAATTCTATTTTTAATTTTTTGAGGAACCTCCCGCTACATTCCATAGAGGCTGCACCAGTCTACATTCCCACCAACAGTGTATGAGGGTTCCTTTTTCTCCACACATCTTTAACACTTGCTATTACTTGTATTGTTGATGATAGCCATTCCAACTGGTGTGAGGTGATATCTCATTGTGGTTTTTATTTTCATTTCTCTCCTGATTAGTGATGTTGAGACATTATTAAAAGAAAGTAAAAAAGACACAAATAAATAAAACACATTCGATGTTCATGAATTGGAAGAATAAATATAGTTAAAATGGCAACATTACCCAAAGTAATATACAGATTTAAAGCAACCCCATCAAAATCCCAATGACATTTTTTTAAGGAAATAGAACAAAAAATCATCAGATTTGTATGAAACCACAAAAGACCCCAAATATCGAAAACAATCCTAAAAAAAAGAAGAATGCTGGAGGTATCACACTCCCTGGCATCAGCTTATACTACAGAGCAACAATAATCAAAACAGCATGGTATTGGCATAAAAACAGGCACACAGACCAAAGGAATAGAATTGAAAACCCAGAAAGAAACCCACATAAGTATAGTTAGATAATTTTCAACAAAGGAGCTAAAAAAATACAATGAGGAAAAGAAATCCTCTTCAATGAATGGCGCTGGGACAACTGTAAAGCTACGTGGAAAAGAATGAAACTAGATTGCTATCTCTCATCGTGTACCAAGAAACTAAAATTGGATCAAGGATATAAACATAAGACATGAAACAATAAACTGCATAGAGTAAAACATAGGTGCTAAACTTATGGACCTTGGGTTCAAAGAGGATTTTATAAATTTGACCTCAAAGGCAAGTAAAAGCTAAAATAAATGAAAGAGACTATATCCACTAAAAAGTGACTGCACAGCAAAGGAAACCATCGGCCAAATAAAGAGGCAACCAACCAAATGGGAGAAGATATTTGTTAATGCCTCCAATAAGGGGCTAATATCCAAAATATATAAGGAACTCATACAACTGAACAACAACAACAATAACAAGCTATCCAATAAAAAATGGGCACAGATCCTGAATAGGCATTTCTCCAAAGAGGACACACAGATGGCCAGTAGACACATAAATAAATGGTCAACATCACTAATCATCAGATAAATGCAAAGAAACCCACAATGAGATATCACCTCACAGAAGTTAGATTGGCTATCTTCAACAAGAGAAATAATAGCAAGTGTTGGAGAAGCTGTGGAGAAAAAGGAACACTCATATACTGTTGGTGGAAATGAAGATTGGTGCACCTGCTATGGAATGCAGTGTGGAGATTCCTCAAAAAATTAAGAATAGACTTATCATACAGCCCAGCATTCTATTCCCTGAGTATATATCCTCAAAAACTGAAAACGTTTATATGTAAAGGTATGTGTGCCCCGATGTTCATTGCAGCTTTATTCACAGTGTCTAAGACATGGAAACAACCAATGTGTCCTTCGATAGATGATTGGATAAAGAAGTTATGGTATATATACACAATGGAATACTATTCTGCCATATGAAACAATGAAATAGTGCCATTTGCAACAACATGGATGTGTCTTGAGATTATTATGCTAAGTGAAATGTCAGACAGAAAAAGTCGAGAACCATATGATTTCACTGATATGTGGTATATAAAACTGAAAACAACAAAAGAACAAGAAAAACACAGGAAGAAACAGAACTCATAGACACAGACAATAGTTTAGTGGTTACCAGAGGGTAAGGGGGGAGGGAGGTGGTAGATGAGGGTAAAAGGGGGTCAAATATATGGTGATGGAAAGAGAACTGACTCTGGGTGGTGAACTCACAATATGATATATAGTTGATGTATTACAGAATTTTACACCTCAAAATCTGTGTAGTTTTGCTAATAATTGTTACCCCAATAAACTTTAATTTTAAAAAAAGAAGGACCCAGTATTCCCACTTTGGAGTATTTATCCAAAAAAGCCCAAAACACTATTTCAAAGGGACATGTACATCCATATATCTATTGCAACATTATTTACAATAGATGGGATATGAAGGCCAACTGGGTGTCCATCAATGGATGAATGGATAAAGAAGATGCAATACATACATGCATACAGAGAGAGAGAGAGAGAGAGAGAGAGAGAGAGAGAGAGAGAGGAATATTACTTAGCCATAAAAAATGAAATTTGCCATTTGCGACAACATGGATAAACCTTGTGGGTATTGTGCTGAGTGGAGTAAGTCAGACAGAGAAAGGCAAATGCCATGTAATTTCATTTATATGTGGAATCTAAAGAACAAAATAAATAAATAAACAAAATAGTAACAAACTCATAGATACAGAGAACATTTTGATAGTTGCCAGCTGGGAGGAAGTTTGGAGGGATGGTTGAAAAAGGGGAAGGGATTAAGATGTACATATTGGTAGTTACAAAATAGTCATGAGGATGTAAAATATAGCATAAGGAATATAGTAAAGCAAAATTTACAATGTTTATAATATCAGTAAAGTCAATTTCATAATATTTTAATAATTATGTGTGGTATTAGATACGACATTTATTGGGATATTTCATAAGTTATATAAATGTCTAATCATGATGTTGCACACCTGAAAGTAATGTAATATTGTATGTATACTATAATTTAAAATTTTTTAAATTATTAAAAATATAAACTACTAAAAAAGTTTTAAAAAGCAGAATTTTCAAGTCCTTTAGAAAAAAAATACAGACTATAGTTTTTAAAAGTCTGTGTTCAAAACCTACATGGTAAATAGCTACTTTTGAAAAATGGCAATGAGTCTCCCAAAACATCAGCTAAATTATTGAGATTAAATACACTAAATAAATAGGACACCTAAAAATGAATACCAATTTTATCAAACTAGAAATACTTGCCTGTTTTTCAGCTTCTTTAAATGTTATTTCTTTGTCCTTTACTCGCTGCATAAACTTTTGTTTCAACTCTTCTTCTTCCCTCTGGCATTGATCATAGAACTCCTGTCTTTTGATTTCATAGATCTCTTGAAAACTAAAAGGGAATTTTATTACTATTATATTAAAATGCTAATATAAATAAACAAGTAAAAGTATATATTGGAGTGGCACATTGGTTAAGAGCTGGCTTGGGACACCAGAGGACCCCGGTTCAGATCCCACATATGATGGCCAGTGACACTGCCCTCTACAGCTAAGATGCTGAACAACAGCTCAACCTGGAGCTGGACTGCTATGAGTCACCAGCGACGGCATGGGCTGCAGCCCCTGCTGCAGTAGGTTGCCATGGGCTACTGTGTGTAGCCAGCAGCCAGCGTGAGCGGCCAGCAGCCGCAGTGAGTGGCTGTCCAGAAGCCAGCAACTGATCTGCCTTTCCCAGGAGGAGCGCAATGATGGTGCCAACTTGGGCCAGTGAAGCAACGTCCTCTACAACTAGACTGAAGAACGAAACGACAGCAACTTCTCTGTTCCCCTCCCCCCAATTCCCCTGCACTGTTCCCATCCCCCAATTCCCCAATAAAAATCTTTTTTAAAAAAGTATATATTGTATATTAAGTCCCATGTAAGTGCATTTGCCAGTAGTCTTCCATGTATAGAAGGGAAAATTTCTGTATCATGAGAAGTAAAAAATGAGGTAGATGCAATATTGAATATAAGAGTATATAGACAGCATATATAAAAAGTACTAGAATTTTGAAAAGTTATACCAGTGATTTCTGGTTCCCACAACTTTTTATTATATCACACTTCTTCACATTTTTTCACAATAAAACCAGGTATCTTTCAAAAGATAATTCATTTAAGATAGCCAATTCAATTTTGGTTGTCTTTAAAGTACTATAATATAATTAGATTATACTACACTGTCATGTTTTTGCAACACAAATCCTATTCATCTTCAATATATCTGCTTGTGAATACACCTGTTTTCCAACTATTTTCACTTGACTTCAATGATATCACACTGTTGCTTTTTCTCTTCCCTCCATCCAACTCTTAATATTCATTGCATCATTCTCAATATCCTTTGCCAATCTTTGCTAACATTTGTCAATTTCATTCCTAAATTTCTCTTTTGGACATACACATTAGCATATACATATTGGACACACATATTTCAGAATCTAAATGATTATTTGCATTATGTTGCTTCTAATAATGTTCTCCATCTAAGTTTGAAGATGATTAAAAAACATCATATTCAGGATAATCCAGGATATGAGAAGTACAGTTCTACAAATGATTGTATCTCATGATTGTAAGAACTTTACATCCATTAGTTTGCTCAAGAAAAATCTCTACTCACCTAACTGGCTGGTTGTCTGGACCTATATCAATAAAGCCAATTTTCTGCAGTTTGCAGCATCTATAACGTTCATAGTGCTGGGTGTGGGTTTGTTCTTTTAGGTCTTCCATATTTGTACAAAGAAGCATATCCCGGAGCTTAACAAAATCACAGTGATTTTCATTTTCCACTAGGTAGAGAAATAATAAAGCCATAGCACATTATCAATCCCTGACATTCAAGATGTTTTATTTAATAAATGCCTGCATGAAAAACATATTTAAAATGCCAACTAAGAGATCATTCTGATTAATATCTATCATTGCTTTAACCATGAAGCAATGAGGTCTGACGATTAAGTTAGCAAACTCATCCTATAAAAAGCACTACATACCTCATTGCTGAACATCACTAAGGTCACCTTTGAAGTACTCTCCTTGGAAGGTTCACACTGACACCAGTGCTGAGTCCATGCTTCAAAGCCATTTTGGAACTTTTTTTCTGGAATGACCATCAGAGTTGTCGTCATATTACCCTTGATGTCCTGAATGTCATCAAAATGTCTTGCTTTCAATATTTCTTTTATGTTCAGGTAAAGAAGGAAGTCGTTGGGGGCCAGATCAGGTGAGTAGGGAGGGTGCTCCAACACAGTTATTTGTTTACTGGCTAAAAACCCCCTCACAGACAGTGCTGTGTGAGGTGGTGCAGTGTTGTGATGCAAGAGCCATGAATTGTTGGTAAAAAATTTAGGTCATCTAACTTTTTCATGCAGCTTTTTCCACACTTCCTAACTTTGTTAACTGTTCAGTTGGTACAAATTCACAATAAATAATCCCTCTGATATCAAAATAAGTTAGCAACATCATTGCAACAAGTTCACGAACTTAACTGTCAGTCCTCATATGTTTATATAGTACATCCTAATTATAGACAGTTTATTTATAGACCAAAAATTTTGCTTTAAATTTATTATCCAAAGAACAAATATGAAACAGTGAAATAACATGTTATATTGGGTGATCAAAAAGTATAATGCATTTTTGCAATGAAAAACATAGAAAAATATGTCATGACTTTTCCAATGACCAATATATTAGTATGTGGCATAGGTTTTCATTAATAATTATATTTGTATTTTACAAACTATCCTCAAGGTATTTTACAGGGTGCTGACAAAGAATATATTATACCTTCACCTAACTAAATAATTTCATTAAATAAAATCTGCTAACACAAAATATTAATAATTGCACATGCTTAAGTTATCAAATTCTATTTATATAAAATAGTTATGAGGAGTTATGGTAAGATGGCGAATAAACAGACACTGTGCTGACTGCCTCCCAAGATCACTCCAAAATTACAAATAATTTATAAGATATTCAACCTCGGAAATTCCCTGAACACTAGATGAACAGAACCTCTAAACAAGAGACTTAAAGTGTATGCCACGTCAAGTGGTAGGAGGGGCAGAGACGAAAGAGGGCGAACCCAGTGAGGGTAGAGACCCTCCGGCCTCACACCACGCTCACCAGCTCAGAGTTACTTGGCCAGGAAGAGGAGTTCTACAATAGCTGAAAGTATAAATTAGTGAGGGCTCTCTTTGCTCAACTCAGAGAGGCTCAGGGCAGCTGGAGAATCAGTGGAGCCAGCAAACCAACTCGCTCACTGGTAAGCAATCACCCAGTTCCTGGTAGAGGGAGTAATTGTGTGAGCGGGGCCTAGGAGCCTGCGGGAAGGACTGAACTGAGTGCCGTTGACACAGGAGCTGGAGGATTTAGGACCATTGTTCCCCTACTGTGGAGCTTGCACACGAGTAGTGCACAGGAGGGCACCATTTTTTCAGGGCTGGGCCTTCCCACAGAGTCTCAGGTCTGGAACCGTATTGGTCTGCTGGAATTGGCATAGGAGTGTGTGTGTGCATGTGTGCAAGCATGCACATGCATGCGGCCTTGGATCCCCACACTCCGCACTGCTTGTGCTGCGTAACCAGGAAAACGCCTGGCAGGCATGCTCCGACTCCAACAGACTGCTTATTGAGAAACAGGAGTGCACGACTCACCTTAGGTCCCCGATTTCTGCACTGCCTGCGCAGAGTTGCCTGGGTGGCAATTGGCTGTCAGGCTGCTCAGCCTGATCTGCCAGCGGCTTATAGGGACAGGCTGAGACTGGGAGTTTTCCTGGGAGTGTAGGGCTGTGAGCTGTGCGACTGCATGATTCGGCCAGGGCTTTCCTGGTGACTTTGTGCAGGCTGGTTGCCATTGCAGGAGTTCATGATGCTCTGACTTGGTGGGGGCCACTGACCACACCCTGTAGTGCCTAGGGGCCTGCGCCGCCCACCTAGAGCTGTATTGCCAGGGGCACCCTGAGGCCGTGGTGCCTGGCCCCTAACTCCACAATTCACAGAGCGTTTTTTGCAGCAGCAGAAAGCCCACAACAACCTGTGAGGATTTTTGGTGGTGAGCACAGTTCCAGAGCACACAGCAACTAATTGAGGGAAGCTTACTTCAAGTCTAGAGGGAGGTCAGCACATGATGAACTGAGTCCCTTCCCCAACAGCTGGTGCTGAGTCGCCCAAAATCTCTCTATTGAAAACCAAGTGGTCTGCAGATTAAAGCAGGTAGAGAGCCCATCCCTTATTTTTTCCTTTTTTTTTCTTCCTTTTTTCCCATCTTTTATCTTTTTTCTTTTTCTTTCCTTTTTTTCTTTCTTTCTAGTGATCTATCTAATACGTTGAAGCAATCACAGAGTGCAGCCAGCATGAACAAACAAAGAAACATGTCCCAAGTAAAAGATCAGAAGAAACCTCAAGAAATAGAACTACATGAAACAGAGGTATCCAACATTTCAGAGACAGAGTTTAGAACACTGATGATAAGAATGTTTCAGGGCTTAGGGAAGACATAAAGAAAGATACATAAATCATAAAAAACAACCAATTAGAAGTAAAGAATACAATAACTGAAATGAAGAACACACTCGAAGGAATCACCAGTAGATGAGATGAAACAGAGGATCAGATCAGTGATTTAGAAGACAAAATAGCAGAAATCACCCAGTTTGAACAACAAAAAGAGAAAAGAATAAAAAACAATGAAAATAGTTTAAGAGGCTGGTNTAGAAGACAAAATAGCAGAAATCACCCAGTTTGAACAACAAAAAGAGAAAAGAATAAAAAACAATGAAAATAGTTTAAGAGGCTGGTGGGACAACATCAAGCACAATAACATTTGCATCATAGGAATACCAGAAGGAGAAGAGAAGAAGCAAGGGATTGAGAATGTATTTGAAGAAATAATGACTAGGAACTTCCCCACTCTGGTGAAGGAAATTGACATACAAGCCCAGGAAGTGCAGAGAGTTCCAAACAAGCTGAACCCAAACAGGTCCACACCAACACACATCATAGTAAAAATGGCAAAGGTTAAAGACAAAGACAGAATCCTAAAAGCAGCAAGAGAAAGACATCAGGTTACATACAAAGGAACTCCTATAAGACTAACAGCTGACTTTTCTACACAAACTCTGCAGGCCAGAAGGGAGTGGCAGGAAATATTGAAAGTGACGCAAAATAAAGGCCTACAACCAAGATTGCTCTACACAACATGGCTTTCACTTAAAATTAAAGAAGAGATAAAGAGCTTCTCAGAATAGAATATGCTTTAGGAATTCATTACCACCAAGCCAGAATTACAGGAAATGTTAAAAGGGCTTTTCAAACAGAAGAAAGGAAAAAACAAGCTAACCCAGGAAGATCAGAGATACAAATAATAAAATGGCAATAAATATGCACCTATCAATAATCACTATAAATGTGAATGGATTAAATGCTCCAATCAAAAGACATGGAGTGGCTGAGTGGATAAAAAAACAGGACCCATGCATATGCTGTTTCCAAGAGACTCATCTCAAATCAAAAGACACACACAGACTGAAAGTAACGGGATGGAATAAGATGTTTCATGGAAATGGAAATGAGGAAAAAGTGGGAGTAGTGATACTTATTTCAGACAAAATAGACTTTAAAATGATGACTACAAAAAAAGACAAAGAAGGACACTACATAATAATAAAAGGATCAATTCAACAAGAGGACATAACCCTAGTAAACATCTATGCACCCAACATAGGAGCTCCTAAATATATAAAACAGATTTTGACAGACAT